TCTACATCCTAATCGCAAACCAGAAGGATTATAAAATTTTGACTATTTTTATAAATTAGTTATTTATTACCTTACTGGAGTTAACAGAGCATTGCGTTAAAAATTGCGCATGACCCAACAATAATTTTCAATGCATTTTGATTCAAGATGCAGAGAAATCCAACCTGGCCACGCTTTTTACATCATCGCCCCGACTCCGAAAGACGCCTTCCACCTGTTCCCATGTCCGAATGTGACATCTATTAGCCACAGTCGAGCGGCACGACCCACAACTTGCCCACAACTACGAGGAATACAACACTCGTGCCTATTGATGTGCCGCCAAACACAACGGATATAGTGTTTGCCTCAGCACTGTTCTCGGCGCTGTGACTGAAGAACCGGTGGAGCCGGTCAAAACAATCCTTCTGGAGGTGCCAGCCGCAGACGTTCGTCTCGGTACAATTGGTCTACCGAAAGGGGTACACGTCAATTATGTGCGACTTCCTGCTCAAGACGAGGCCGACCGGCAACCGGTGCCCCTTAGGCCGCAGCGAAAGGCGTTGCCTAATAACGTGCAATGTCGCGATCAGAGGCTTCCCAATAAAATAATGGCTATTATGTGAGATGTATTATGTAGGTCACGATGACCTCCTACGCTAGAACACCGTGACCTCCTACACTGTGATTTGTTAGGTTCGATACCGTTTTATTAACTTTTGAATAACATTACGTCTAACTAAAATGTTGCAACGATCAATAACTGAAATTTCTTCCAGTCAGAAATGTGGACCCAATAAAGTTAGAGAAAAGGTATAGGTGCTCTTCGGACAACTTGCTGAAAATTGAGAAAACATAATTTGTGGCGGATGATACAAACACTCCATAACTGCTTCGGATGTACCAGGCGAAGCACCAAGCCAACGCCGAAATATTCACATTTCATTTCTACTACCTAGACTGATGCCACAATCGCTGACAACTATAGAAGAGACACAACATGCTCTGCAGCCTGCTAAAACTCCGAAAGCGAGCCTGAACCGGGCAGCAATTAAAACAAAAATGACAAGATTTTTTGACACTTAACTAAGTTTACGATGTTTTAACTTCAGGCGATGATGAAGACAGAACTGGAAGCAGTGGCTTGCAATAACAATGCAAGAAAGCTCGGCCATATACCACTAAACGAGGTATTATTATATCTTGGTTTACTGCACGCCGTGCCGCGAACGTTGACTGTCTGTGAAGAGGACAGCTCCACCGAGGCTCCAGAGATTGATGACTGCAACGATGAACGAAATCTAAACGCAGAACAAAAATTGCCTACAGTTCAAAGTAAAAAAACAACCTTTTACTTTACTACATCTTTTTTGACATGAAACCGTGTTCTAATGAAGAACCTTCATATTCTAATGAAAGAGATAGGAGATATAATAATGCACGTTATATTAGTAGCAAACTGTGGTAAACCTAGAATCTACATAATTAGATAACCAAGTACGCATCTTGAACTTAATCTCGAATTAATTTTTTGCTAACACTACTGGAAACGCTCGACAGTAAGGTTGATCTGAATACGGATTAAGAATTAATGCGAATTTGTTGTACACATTTGGGAAAAAATGTTCGTTTTCTGTTGGCCTTTACTCAAGCCTATTCTGGAAATGAATTAGCACAACGTAGTACGGTTCCTAGACTGAGGATAGAAAAGATGATAGTTAAAATTCTAACGCATCAAATTTTCACACAACACGTAACAAAATATATCCAGAGGACTTGACGAGAAAAACCGGTAACTCAACAGTCACTAGAATTGATTACTAAAAATATGTCGTGTTCAGGTGTTCCAGAGGTCCAGTGTTCTGCTGGAACATTGCTTCAGCACTAACAGCTCATCTCACTAGGATGCTGACGTGACGTTCTTACTGGCAAAGTCAGAAAACATAAGAAGAAATTACTACTTACAAACGAAACAATATTCTGAACAAATTTTTGATCCTCGACTGATTCTTAAAATTGTATGTAATGCAACAATTCATGAATTTAAGCGCATCTTGATCACGTTGAAATACTGATAACTGAATATTAGCTTCAACTCTTAACGAGCCTGAACTACCTACTTAGCAAGCAGCGTCTCCATAGCCACTGGTTCATGGTTATTTTCATTCTATCGACCAAAGCTCAGCCATGTCAATTGTTAAACTTTGTTGATCAATTTTATCTGGTGCAAGTGATAAATTAGAACGCGCGAGAATCTCATTAAATCACAATTTAATGCTAGCGAGAACATAACGGTTACTAGGGAAAAGGATCATGTTCGGAGGAACAACACCATTGCTAACTGCCTAGCAAAAAAATAATTCTACCAAATTATTCACTGCTTATTTACGAATTCAATATTAACATCAGGGAAATGTTCCGTGGTTAATACAGTACAAAATATCTAAAATTACAACATAAGACGATGTCGACATTAAAAAATAAACATAAATGCTTGGAAAATCAATGCAAAAGTATTTTCAAAGTTTGACGCGGCCAGATTCTGGGTGTAATTTTAGGAGCACGCGTATCGCTTAAACTTAGATTCAAATTTTAATCAAAACTAAACCTACCGATTCAGTGAAATTTTTATATTTAATAATATGAAATTAGAGCAAACCTGCAACATATGTTCAACATTATATATACACCACAATATACCGCATACACCACAATATGTGCAAGATAATCTAATATGCCCAGACTAGTGGGAAGTCCGAATGACGATACAAAGAGACCTAAGGCGTTGCTTCAAGGTAACTCAGTAAAAGTAAATAGTAACCATATAATGAATACATGAATAAACGGAAATAGAAAATGTCTAAAATAACTACACATAATACACTAAACTATACATCAAAAAAGGCAAATCCGTAACTACTGCTATTATGATGTATGACCTATTTTGTCTGGTGCTAGTAATAAATTAGAAACTCGCGAGAATCTCATAATATCAAAATTTAATGCTAGAGAGAAAATAACGATTATTAGGGAAATGGATCATCTCCTTCGGAGGAGCCAACTCCATTGTTATACTGCCCAGTAACCAAATAATTTTTTATGAAATAAAAATTATTATATTTATGTAATAATATGAATTGCGTGTTGTTGACGTCAGCACCGCCTCGTGAGTTATTGTAGTTCAAGCTGCTGTTGACCAGGCCAACAAGTAATCTTCGAGGGACCAGGCCAACGACGGGATCTCCGACGTAATCCTGCGAAAAACGATCGAAATTAATATTTGATTGCAATCACTTGGTGAAAACTCGATTCTTGTCAAATGAAGAATACAAATAAAACATTACTAATCGATAGATAAATTTAACCTAACTTTAAAGATTAAAATAGAATTCTGCGGTCACTGAATTAGATCGCACATAAGCCCAGTTTTAGGTTTGAGAGCCACTTAACGTACCCTATCTGAAAACTAAACTAACAGCTGTAGGAGGGTCCTCTGAAAAAAGATGTTCTCAGAAAACCTATAACACAATGACAAGCATCATTCCATGAATATGTTCTCCAAGCTCGCTACAAACCGGCTACACAAGTCGATGCTGCTAACGCAGCGTGGCCACGAGGCAACAGGCTGGGAAAATCTCGAATTAATTTTTTGCTAACACTACTGGAAACGCTCGACAGTAAGGTTGATCTGAATACGGATTAAGAATTAATGCGAATTTGTTGTACACATTTGGGAAAAAATGTTCGTTTTCTGTTGGCCTTTACTCAAGCCTATATCTGGAAATGAATTAGCACAACGTAGTACGGTTCCTAGGCTGAGGATAGAAAAGATGATAGTTAAAATTCTAACGCATCAAATTTTCACACAGCACGTAACAAAATATATCCAGAGGACTTGACGAGAAAAACCGGTAACTCAACAGTCACTAGAATTGATTACTAATAATACGTCGTGTACAGGTGTTCCAGAGGTCCAGTGTTCTGCTGGAACATTGCTTCAGCACTAACAGCTCATCTCACTAGGATGCTGACGTGACGTTCTTACTGGCAAAGTCAGAAAACATAAGAAAAAATTACTACTTACAAACCAAACAATATTCTGAACAAATTTTTGATCCTCGACTGATTCTTCAAATTGTCTGTAATGCAACAATTCATGAAGTTAAGCGCATCTTGATCACGTTGAAATACTGATAACTGAATATTAGCTTCAACTCTTAACGAGCCTGAACTACCTACTTAGCAAGCAGCGTCTCCATAGCCACTGGTTCATGGTTATTTTCATTCTATCGACCAAAGCTCAGCCATGTCAATTGTTAAACTTTGTTGATCAATTTTATCTGGTGCAAGTGATAAATTAGAACGCGCGAGAATCTCATTAAATCACAATTTAATGCTAGCGAGAACATAACGGTTACTAGGGAAAAGGATCATGTTCGGAGGAACAACACCATTGCTAACTGCCTAGCAAAAAAATAATTCTGCCAAATTATTCACTGCTTATTTACGAATTCAATATTAACATCAGGGAAATGTTCCGTGGTTAATACAGTACAAAATATCTAAAATTACAACATAAGACGATGTCGACATTAAAAAATAAACATAAATGCTTGGAAAATCCATGCAAACCTATCTTCAAAGTTTGGCGCGGCCAGATTCTGGGTGTAATTTTAGGAGCACGCGTATCGCTTAAACTTAGAATCAAATTTTAATCAAAACTAAACCTACCGATTCAGTGAAATTTTTATATTTAATAATATGAAATTAGAGCAAACCTGCAACATATGTGCAACATAATATATTCACCACAATACACCGCATACACCACAATATGTGCAAGATAATCTAATATGCCCAGACTAGTGGGAAGTCTGAATGACGATAAAAAGAGACCTAAAGTGTTGCTTCAAGGTAACTCAGTAAAAGTAAATAGTAACCATATAATGAATACATAAATAAACGGAAATAGAAAATGTCTAAATATTTTACACATAATACACTAAACTATACATCAATGGAATAATATGAAGTGCGTGTTGTTGACGTCAGCACCGCCTCGTGAGTTGTTGTAGTTTAAGCTGCTGTTGACCAGGCCAACAAGTAATCTTCGAGGGACCAGGCCAACGACGGGATCTCCGACGTAATCCTGCGAAAAACGATCGAAATTAATATTTGATTGCAATCACTTGGTGAAAACTCGATTCTTGTCAAATGAAGAATACAAATAAAACATTACTAATCGATAGATAAATTTAACCTAACTTTAAAGATTAAAATAGAATTCTGCGGTCACTGAATTAGATCGCACATAAGCCCAGTTTTAGGTTTGAGAGCCACTTAACGTACCCTATCTGAAAACTAAACTAACAGCTGTAGGAGGGTCCTCTGAAAAAAGATGTTCTCAGAAAACCTATAACACAACGACAAGCATCATTCCATGAATATGTTCTCCAAGCTCGCTACAAACCGGCTACACAAGTCGATGCTGCTAACGCAGCGTGGCCACGAGGCAACAGGCTGGGAACTATTTTCTCCCAGCAGGAAGAAACGAGCTATTTGATTAAATAAGTACTTACGGCGAGCTGCGCGCATAAGATTCTCTCATTGGGGCCTTTAGACCACGGCCACATGTAAACCACACGCCATCTTCGTTGACCTTCTCACCGAGTGTTCGTCAGACGATTCGAGAAACGCCAGGAACTCCACGCCTGGAAAAAATTACCTCGTTGAAATGTTACGGTAACGAATTTGGTTTCAAGTAAAGTTAATATGAAAATAGAAACGCAAAAATTATATCGGACAAGTATGAACTTTACTGGGGTGACACTTTTCGATATGGCTACTTAAACTGTCAAAAAGTAAGATCAATAGAAAAACAGCGCTTATGGTAATTAGAGAAATAGTACATACAGCAAACTGAGCGCGTATGTAGCAACAGCTCCATTAACAACAAACGATGCTAATTTGGAAAATTATAGATTATAAGAAATGAAAATGTTATCCTAAACTATACAATGAAGATTGAAACATTTAAAAATAATAAGAAAAGCATACTTACTGTTTAAAGTATAGAAATGGGAGCTCTCGCTAGGCCTCATGACGCGCCGTAACTGAGCCGCGAGAAAAGCGCAGCAACGATAGTCAAGGCAAAGTACAAGCACCTGCAGATTAAGGTGAAAATGTTACAATACTTCAGTAACATATATGTGACGATTGCATTCACTTGGTGAAACTCAATTAAGGTGAAATAAAAATTACAAAATAAAAACAACACACCTCGATAGCTAAACAGGAATAAATATTGAACATTATTATGGTACTCTGCAGTCATTGAATTAGCTCTTACATGGCAATTCAACGAAGATAAATTTTACGAATCATACAATGTACCTCAAATTAAAAAGTAAACAAAAAGCTGAAAGCGAGTCCTCTTAATAAAATATTGTTAAAAAACATTGTTACAAAAACACAATCTTCATTTCATGAACTACTTTCCAACCGCGCAACAAACCAGCTACATGAGTCGCTTATAAACTGCTGCTAACGCAGCGTGGCCACAAAGTGAGAGGCTGGGAGCAGCTGCGGTCAATGACAGCAGCTGCTCCCAGCAGGAAGAAAATAGCTATTTGATTAAATAAGTACTTACGGCGAGCAGCGCGCATAAGATTATCTTACGACAGGCCTCTAGAGCAAGGCCAAGTAAACCTCACGTCATCTTGAACTTCTGACAGAGTGTTCGTCAGACGACTCGAGAAACGCCAACAACTCCACACCTGGAAAAATTAGCTTGGTTAAAGTGTTTCGGTAACAAATTTGGCTTAAACAGACGATAACTGACATGAACAGAAGGGAGGAAACTATGAACATCAAGAAAGGCTAATATGAAAGTAAGAAACGCAACTATTAGAAAAGAGCAGAATGAAATGTACTTCAGGTAACACTGAGTATACGACTTCTGAAATTATAAAAATGAATAGGATAATAGCGACTATGATGATTCAATAGAAATATTATATACACCAAACTGTGCGCGTATGCAACAACAGCCAACACTTCATTAAGAAAAAAACGATGCTGATCTGAAAAAGTTTGTAGATTCTAATAGAAGAAAATGTCATCCTAAAGTAAACATTAAACAATACAATGATAAATGCAGTAATTACAATAAAAAACATGCTCACTGCTTAAAATACAGAAATTGATGTTCACGCTAGGCTCCATGACACGTCGGAACTGAGCAGCAGGAAAGGCGCAGCGATGAGAGTGATGACAATATACACGCACCTGCAGAGAAAATTGAGAATTTGCAATGCTTCAGCTTCAAATGTGTGACAAAAACAAAACCTCGATAGACTCTAACAGTGTTCTCATAACTTGAAGAAACGTAAAATTTCACATATAAGAAGCAGCATTTCATTAATCAAAAATTATTTTTTTATATTAATACAAAATGATAGGACCCTACCGAGTGCAGCAAAACTGTCATCCAACACGATACACTATCAAACGAATTTGGAGGTAAGTTTAGTACAAAAATAATTACCAAACTTACTTCGTAAAATATTGGAATGGGAGCTAACGCTAGGCAACATGACACACGTCGTAACTGAGCAGCAAGCGATAGCGACCCGTACAGCAAGATGGAAATTTTAAAGCTTCAGATACAAATGTGTGAAGAGAATAAACATCGACAGTCCATCAAACAGTTTGAACATACGTTGAAGAAACATGAAGCTTCATTAAGAATATATAGCAAGCGACTTTTTGTTACTAAAACAAAATTTTTCCATCAATACAAAATTTTAGCACTCAATCTAATATTGCGAAAAAAAATTTCCAAAACGATACGATATCTGACGAATTTGAAATAAAAATATTTGCCAAACTTACTTCGTAAAATATATGAATGGGAGCTCATGCTAGGCCACACGACACGTCGTAACTGAGCAGCAAGAAATGCGCAGCAACGATAGTGACAACGATGTCCGTACCTGGAGAACAATATGAAAGTTTTACAATGATTCAGCTACAAATGTGTGGCAAGAAAAAACGACGGCAAACAACTGATCACTTTGGTTTGAGATCGCTTAATTTTGTAAGTAATTATTTCCCACATCATTAACAAACGTCGGCAGCTAAATGGAATATAGTGAAAATCACATCAAAAAAACATTACGATAGCAAAAAAAATGTAATAAAAAGGCAGTTTTTCGAAACAAGCATACTCACCACTTTAATGCGTGCTCAATGCACGTTCTCCGCCAACGCCAATGGACACTTCTTCATTGAGTTTTAAGCAAGTCTGCCACTTCAAGGTGGGTTGTCTGGGCCTTTCCTCGGCAAACAAATTTAGGCCGACAGTCAATGCTTGGTGACTCTTAGCCTCATTTCCGTGTTCAGTGTGTATCCTTGCCCTCCAGGAATTGATGAAGTCCGTCAGTCCATCGTCGTCATTGCCTTGGGTGAAACCAGTAATGAAGCACGCCAGCGCCCAAGGTCTCAGCGATCTTGTGGCCGCAAGTGCAAGAGGATCGTTGAAAAGCTTCAAAGCTTGCCGCAAACTAGGTGCTTTATCGATGCGGTACGAGTCAAGCTTCAGGCTAACGACCATGAATATGAATCCTGAATCGGTCGTTGGAACACAGGCGGGTACGGACGGATAAGAACAAGTGCTTGGGATTATTCCATCTCCTTCCCGAATACTGTCACAAGCGTCCAAAATCCCATCTATGAAAGCATCCCAAGGATCAACCACTTGCAAGAGCTTCTTGATGGCTCTCAAAGTGTCAACTATATCCCCGACGAAGAGAAGATCGTCAAGAGATTGCACTCGGCTCAAAATGACAAGTAACTGATTTTTGTCCCATAATGAGAACATCGGATCTTCCAAACTTATCTGCGTGGCTAATTTGGGGAGTGTTTCCCCAATGCTTCGATGAACAGTGGTGCAGACGAAGTATGCGAATGGCCACTGTTCACGTCTCGCCTTGGACATGTGGACTTGAATTAACTGAGGTATCGTAAACCTCCTAGCCAATGAAAAGACTGGCCACTCATCTGGCAAAGCATCCACGGATACCACTCTGACTCCCGGTGGTACCAATTTGATGGTGATTCGTTGAGCATGCCGAGGAAGACTGAGGTCTGGCAACTGGAGGATAATGGCCAACTGGCCTTGTGAAAATTTTGGAACTCTACCTGCTGGTGTGGAATTATTGTATGTGAGTCTTACAATTTGTTGACAGAAGAGAAGGAGCTCGAACGGTTCCTTGCATTGCCGCGTCAGTTGTTTGCTAACAGCAGCGCTGGCAGTAATCCAATTGCCTCCAATTACTTCTACCTCGTCGTGTGCCTGTTGTACGATGTATGAAAGACCAGGAGTCGCTTTCTTTTGCTTCAAGTAGATACTGACAGCATAATCGACCGCAGAATTCTTGCCGACGACACGCTGGTACTCGTCGGGTACGTCACCGTGCTACTAGAGTTGTTTAAAGATGAATGCGCGGCAACGCTATCACACACGAACAAATATCTGCATCACGTTGACTAGATTTCTAACGTGTTAACTCAGGTTCTAAGAGTCGGCATAATTATTCAAAGATCACAATTTGGTTGGAAATTAATTACAAAACTAAATTGTAGAAGGCAACAATCCACATGGCTTGAGATTGACTCTTTTTAATGAAGGACTTACTTACTTGGTTAAGATACGGCGCAGCACCAACGAAGGTATTAGCGCCCGACGAAGGACTGACTTTGGCAAATAGTACAAACCCGAATGTCAATGTCAGGAATACGTTGCGTTCCCGACATCCTCCTGGTGCCGGCTGGAGAAATGGGTTTGTGCGGTACAAACCCATTGAAAACAAAAATACATGCACTGCATTTTTTTAAATTGTCAGTTCTCATTTTTCGCAACTTTGAAGGTTAATTATATAGACTAACAACAAATATTAATAAAATATGAATAGCTTCAAGAGACTCATACGTCTCAGACCAAATTTACGGCTGGACTCTGTACCTGAAATATCTCCCAAAGTACTGAACATAGCTTGATGAAACTTGGTTCACATATTCATTATGGCCTAAGGGTACGCACACAGTGAAAGCAGGTTGACAGCGTGCTGGTTACCTGCTCAGGCTGGCGCATGAAACCGTAGAATACAGAAGCCTATCCGTACAGGTTTTCACTGTGAACAGTTACATGATTATCCAATGTTCATTCTTGTGGCAGGTTGAAGCAGGTTGCCCGCGCGGGCAAACCTGCTTTCACTGTGTGCGTACCCTAATGGTGATGTCAAGCGCGTGACAATTCTTTTTAATATCGCCTACATTCGTGAGTTCTATGACGAAACGTGCCGAAATTAGCAGTGTACCAGATATTTCTTCTCAAATACTGAACAGATCTGAACGAAACTTTGCATATAGAAACCTAACCTCCCAACGGTGTGATGTTTAGCTCGAGACAATTTTTTTACGTTTTGCCTTCGTTGGCGAGTATTTTTCTCTTTTCCCTCATTCGTGATTTAAAAAGTAAATTTGTTTAAATTCGCAGTGTACCAGAGATTTCTTCTAAAATACTGAACAGATTTGAACGAAACTTTGCATAGAGAAACCTAACTTCCAAACGGTGATGTTTAGCTCGTGACAATTTTGTCAATTTTGCCTTCGTTTGCGAGTTATACGGCTTTATGTATATGGCTCTTGGTCAATGCAAGTTCAAAAATCGGCCTGAGAAATGCTGGTCGTTTCTCCGTATAACTCGCAAATGAAGGTAAAATCGAAAAAATTGTCACAAGCTAAACATCACCGTTGGGATTGGGAAGCTAGGTTTCTATATGCAAAGTTTCGTTCAAATCTGTTCAGTATTTTAGAAGAAATCTCTGGTACACTGCAAATTTAAACACAATTTTGCGTAAAAAAATTGTCACGAGCTAAACATCACACTGTTGGGAGGTTAGGTTTCTACATGCAAAGTTTCATTAAAATCTGTTCAGTATTTTAGAAGAAATGGCTGGTACACAGGTCTCGGACAAATTTACAGCCGGACTGGCAGCCGGTCTCGCGGCCAAAAGGTTTTCTTAGTGTTTTTATGAGTTTTTTTGGTTTTATGTGTTTTTAATGAACCTGTTCCTAACTGGACCTAACCTGCAAGGTTTTCGTTGAGTGGCTAGGTTTTTTCTATGTTTTTAGTCCGGCGGCCGCGAGACCGGCCGTAAATTTGTCCGAGACGTAGTGGTACGCTGCAAATTTCGGTACGTTTCGTCATATAACTCATAAATGAAGGCGATATTAAAAATAATTGTCACAAGCTAGACATCACCGTTAGGCCATAATGAATATGCGTACCAAGTTTCATTGAACTACGTTCAGTACTATTGGAGAAATTTCAGGCAGAGTCCAGCCGCGAAACCGGCCGCAAGTACGGCCGTAAATTTGTCCGAGACGTTATCACATGACGATGAAGCAGCATTGCGTAAAAGTATGTAAGGACGATGTTGGAAATTTCTGATGACAGTTACGTTACGATGACAGTTACGTGACATATTTTATTTACAAAAGATTTCGCACTCAAAACTATTTTCCCATTAATTACAATGATGAAATTATTTCTGACTCCTTTCATTAACCGTAGAATCTCTAATAACCCTATCAGCGCAATAATAGTATATATAGAACGAGCAAAATCTGTCATTTAACACTAATATTTGTTTACTTCATATGTCCAATTTCTGAGGACACGTCCGGACTGAATATTGCCTCACGTCCGGACCGGATGGTCTACGGTAGGTAAAAAACACAAACGATGTTCACCAGTTCGTATAAGAAATTTGTAGAAAATTTCTTTGTAAATAAATTTCTAGATTTTTGCTTTCACAAAATTTCCATATCAAGGAAAATCATAGATTATTTATGGATAATTAAATGCATATTACTTATTATGTATTATACATTTTCTGTCTCTTGTCCCTTGACAAAATGTATGTGCGCGCTACGCCAATGCTTGCGCGCGCTGCGCCGATGCTTGCACGCGCTGCACCAACGCTTGCGCGTGCAAGCAGGGATGGCCAGAAGTTGCACCAACTGTGCGCCGCAAGAGCTTGAAAAAAGTCAAAATGCGCGGGAAAATTCACTGAAAACATACATAATCCTGAGTGTGGATTATTCTACAGATAACAATTGTTCCTAACTTCCTACTTCTAATGTAGGTATATGTAACTCTTCATGTTGTATAATTCTTTGCAGAATTTGATCATCCCTCAATTCTTTTTATTAGTTGTATCACTTGTGATTGTATGTGTATGAGTTCAAGCTGCTTTTAAAATATTCATCATGTCTTTGGTCCAGAAACTTATGAAAGAAACTGGTAAGTAGCTATGTTGTCTTACTTGTCTACTGCATTATGCATTTACCTATTTAGGCTAGTCTGGTAGTCCACTGCAATGACTGCATCACTTTTATAACAATATTTATATTATTATTTGAGGCTTTTAGGTATTCTACAATAATGAATAATATTTAAAAGTATCTAGACCAAATTAAATTTTTGAGGTACCAGTAATTCAGTATCATGATTCCTAGAATTGGAATTCCTATACTATAGCACTATAGCAGTATAGAATATTCTTAAATTTAGGCATTCAAGTAACATGTTCTTTTATGAATGAAATTCATCAAGTTTAGGGTACTGTGTAATTGTGTTTCATGATCATCTAGTAACTAGAAGAATGCCCTTTAACATTTCAAGCTTTTATGAAGACTTGCAAGTTGAAGTTTTAGTGCAGGGTTTGTGACAGAAAACAAAAACATTTTTGCCATTTGAAAATAAATATATATAGATATATTGTATATGTGTGCATATATATGTTCCAAATTTAAGTTGTAGCTTAAGATTTAAAACTGATAAAAGGAATCTATAATTAATTTTAGAATCTAACAATTTTCTTCAGAATGTTTGAAGGCAATTTGTTACCTATACACTATATAGTTTTAACAATTTATCTCCCATTTTCAAATAATTTTGACACTAACCACTATAGAACTATGTAGCTATACATAGACACTGCGATGACTTCTTTTACTTATTGTCCCTTTTTATTGGCAGGTGCTGATGAAAAATCAGCAAAGTATTTATTGGAAGCTTGCAGCAATAATTATAAAATGGCTGTACTCATGTATCAAGATTCACAGCCTGCACAGGTAACTACGCAACATGTTACTTCACAAGTTAATTTGGAGTATGAATGTATATCTAGGTATTAATTATCATTTGTCATTTGGTATTACATTGTGATATCTCCTTACAATTACATGGGAACCGTATCTCCAACATTGCAATGATGAAATTATGCTGGAATACTTATTTTCAATATTGGACAATAAATGTTTGACAATTTCTAATTTTACTCTCAGGTATAATATATGCCTCATCAGAGTCTTGATTATAGATGTATATATTATTTTGTTACAGGATTTCACCCATGGGGCTAAGTCACTGCATACCATACAGATTGTCCGTGTATTCATTCATGCCCCTATTTTTACAACACTTGTCTTTAACTCCACTTCTTGTTGTTTGTTTGTCTGTCTTCTACAAATCTGATAATTGATATTTAAAGCACTTCTACCTCTCCAATTGATCTGAAATTTTGCACACTTGCGTAAAATTGGAGAAAATGCATGAATCAATTGACACAATGAATAATATTGACATTTTTTTTTCATATATTAAAAAATTAAAAATTATTTTTTAATATATGAAAATAAAATTAGAAATTCATTGCAGATGTGTAACATCAGAGACACTGTATTCTTTAGAAGTGTTGTCTTTAAAAAGTAATTTTTAAACGCATATTATTCTATTGCCCCATACAATTTCTCTGTAATCAGCAAATATGGCTGTTTTTGTCCTTGAATGTGAAATAATGTTTGAAATATTTATATAGTTAATGTTGTGTCATTACAGTGTGAAGTCAGCTTTATTTGTAAGTGGATCGGATGAACTTGGTACCAATTTTTCCTGTTTTTCTTTTTGATTTTGATGTACAATTATTTCATTATTATTCATAGTCAACATCATCAGAAGCCAGAGAAGAAGATGTGAGGGCACCAATTCCCCGTAAGTTTGAAGTTTTATGCCCTGAGCCTGGTATGTCTTCCTCACACAACCTCAGAAATTGGGCAACCTGGCATGACTCAAGTGACAACATACCATTCAGGAACACTATGCACATGAGAGACTTTGAACAGGAGACCAGTAAGTGTCATTTCTTGTTGAATTACATGTTACTCAAAAAAATATAATGTTCTTATCACAAATATTCTGAACCAATGAACATTTTTAGCGCATTTTCTCATTTATGGAAAAAATGCACTATTGTGCTCGCCATGTCTGTCTGTCCATCTGTCCGTCCAGTGGTGACCTCAAGTATATTATTTTATTATCATATTAATCGTCAACGAGAAAATGCGCTCTCTGTCACTCACTGCAGTCAGTACTGAGATATTTTTTTGTATATTTTTGATAACATGTAAGATGCATTGCTTGTTTTACAATGAGTATCACAATCTCAAATCTATATGCTTCCTATATCCACAATTCAACATAACTGTAGTAGAATACGTGTGAAGTTTTTATGTGTATTCCAGGACATCAGGAAGAAATGATGGGCCTTGGTCGTGGTATTTTTGGGGCTGGTAGCTCCAGAGGCTCACACGTTGCCGGAACAAGCAGCGGTGAGTTTTTTCATGACTGAGACACTATGAATAAGAATATATTAAATAATGAATCTGGGACTTGATGTTTATGACTCAATGATCCCCACTTGGGAAATATAGACTCTCCCTGTGAGTTAACTGAAACTTGCTGTGTGAATGAGTTATATAGTAAATGCATATATGAATATTGCAGACAATACCTATATTCTTATACTCCCCTCTGGAAAGCTTCTCACCCCCTCACCCCCAGTAGCTCTTTGTTATTATCCTTATATACACTCATTACGTGTAGTACTAGTTATATACGTATTAAATTGTTTATTAAAGTGGATGCAAAAACGCCATGCATGTTTTGTTGAGATGCCATGTGAAGTTTGATACAAATTAACAATGGTGTAATGAGTTTTAATTTTGTACCAGCAACTAGAATTAAATTTATTACAAATTCCCAGGTTCTTCATCTTCAAGTGGATCGCATTCATTGGGAGGTGAAGCAGACCTTCAGTCCAAGCTGAAAAAACTTGAAGATCTGTTCAAACCTCCTCTTGATCTCATCTACAAGGGTTCTTTCTTTATGGTACGTTCAATTGCCATAGATATTGCTATTTCCTTGCTATACATTGCATGCTACATGTTTAAACTCTGCCTACCTCACTTAAATTCTAGTGTGACAACTTGATTTATATGAGCAGGAAATTATGTTCAAACAATCTTATTATAATGAATAATGGTTTTTGAATAGTGTTGTGAATTGTATCTATGATTTCTTAAATTCCAAAGTTATTGAAAGAATGGTATAAATTCCTCTCACGATCCTGTCCCTCTCACGATCCTGTCCCTCTCACGATCATGTCCCTCTCACGATCCTGTCCCTCTCGCGATCATGTCCCTCTCACGATCCTGTCCCTCTCACGATCCTGTACCTCTCACGATCCTGTCCTCTCACGATCCTGTCCTCTCACGATCCTGTCCTCTCACGATCCTGTCCCTCTCGCGAACCTGTACCTCTCGCGATCCTGTCCCTCTCACGATCCCGTCCTCTCGCGATCCTGTCCCTCTCACGATCCTGTCCCTCTCACGATCCTGTCCCTCTCACGATCCTGTCCCTCTCACGATCCTGTCCCTCTCCTCTCACGATCCTGTCCCTCTCCTCTCACGAGCCTGTCCCTTCACGATCCTATCTCTCTCACGATCCTGTCTTTCTCACGATTTAGTGAAATGAAAATGAAATCCCTAGATTCCTAGGGATTTATGTTGCCTTAAATCGAGAGGTGTTGAAAATTCACCATCAGCTGGTGGCATCTTAACGTTCTGCTGTTAATGAGAATAATTTTGTCCTACTTAGCTATCACCCGTGAACTTGTTTGGATTTGAACCAATTTATTTAGCTTGGCTTGCATAATTTAGCCATCACGTAGGAGCCCATGAAATACCCACAGACTTCAAAGACTCTTACTAAAATTGCCTAAAAATTTTAAACATTGATGCAGATATTCTCGAATTTTATCACTTTTAATTATTATAAGTCTGGCAGTGATAATTGTATGGCTAAATTACACTTCCATTTTTTTTTAAACCCAGCGTCTTGAGTGACGATACTCATGCACAACTAATCTCTTGCAGGCGCGAGAAGAAGGCAAGGAGAAGGGCAAGTGGCTTCTCGCCAACATACAAGACAACAATGACTTCATGTGCCACACACTCAACAGGGACGTATGGTCCAACGCCAACGTCAGGAAGCTGCTCGATGGCACCTTCTTGTTATGGCAGGTCTGTTTATTATTATTGTTATCATCACTTTTAATTATTACATGGTTGAAAATGAGCATGAAAATAAGACAGCAAAGAAGGATAGAAACGACTGTGTACAAAAGTCAAATGCTCTGTGAAGTAATCGGATTGTGTCCAATCCGATCTGACCCTCTTTAGCTCTTCACACTTCACATTGACCACAAAAAAGGTTCATTGTTTGAAACCCTTTAGCTCATTTAAAAGAAAATGGTTTGGTTAAATCATCATGTTTCAGCTAGTACAAGTATGATGCCAAAATGACTTTAATTATCAAGATTTGTCTGCAAGAACACAGAGTTATGATCGTGTTTATTCTGCTCTGATTGAGCATTATAATCATAAGTGACGTCCATATTAAGTATTGAACAACAGCAGGGATGTTATTTCTTGCTATTCTGGGAGACGGCAAAGACACGATGTACCGAGCCCTCGACACTCTATCCAAATGTTTTCTTTAGTAATAGGTAGTCAACTGTTTGCCAAAATGCTAGCAAACACATAATATTCTTCCTTTTACAGGCAGCTCATGATAGCGAACACGGACGCAAGTATATGAACTTCTACCCGTCAGTAACCTTCCCGTACATCGCAATCATCGACTCGCGCACCGGCGAGCATATGAGCACCTTCACAGAGACTGATCCCAAAGCCTTCTGCAAGTTCCTGAAGAACTTCATCAGCTTACATGGCAGGATGCCCAGCAATCTTCAGTTTGCTGCTGACTTCGCATCACCGGAAGCTGGCAAGAGGAAAACTCCAGATTCTGATGTCTCAAACGGCCATGATTCATCAGCACTTTCCAAATTATCGGTAGGTATTATGTAATTTTAATTAAAAAATACGTTTTTTGATGTTCATACAAACTTGAGTCAGCATTCCTGTAAATTTGGCCCGTCGGACGTATTCCTTATTACAACATTTGTCACTGATGATTGTTTTCCTCAATTTAAGCTCATTCTCAGTTGCCGAGAAATTTCGCTGGCTTGGGTGATCTTATGTCATTGAATTGTAACTTAATTGAATTGAAAAATATCTTGACCCCAACTTGAATTATTAACAATTTAATTTTTATTTTGCTTAAAAAACTGTATGTCTTTTTCGGTTTAATTTAGGCATTCTATCCTTAAGGTTCTTCTTTTCTAAACTCGCTTTCCAAAATTTTCATCTCATTGCAGAAAGTTTACAACTAAACTGTAAATGTATAGCGTCCGCCGAAAACTATTTTCTTGCTTTCAAATTTAGGTCATGATTAAAATTCCATTCATTTTTATTATTTCGATAATATTAATGACTGATTAATCAATCCTTCTGTGCACAGCGCTCGAGCCAAGCTAGCGACGTGTCATCCAGTCGCTCCAAGGCGTCAGGCTTGTCTGAACGCGGGCTTGAAGCTCAAAGCCTCCGTGAAGTGAGCCAGTCTGCTGTTAAACGCAAGGTCGGTTGAAGTTTTAATTGATAAATCTCCTTATTGTTTACCTACCGTTATTCTATCAGTGTCGTATCAGGTAAAATGTTTATTACTTCTTCAATATTTCCTTCTTGGCAGTGATTCATTTTGTATACTTTCAGAGCATTAAGTTATGATGCGACAATAAATAAACTCAACATAATCATGAACTGCAAATCGTTTCAAGAAATAATCATTACAAGCTAATGGAAACCTATTCAAATAGTTTCTAGCCGTTCATGAAGTAAGAGGCCTATCCAGGCCTATTCTTTTATGCCGAAGATACTAATATTTCCAATATCTTAAATAAATTTTTGAATAAACCTTCAATGGAAGGTGAATTAATTTCTTGATGTAAATAATTTAATAAAAATTTGTTTGCAGGCTCTGTTCGATATCACTGAAGAAGCCCAAATGGAGCTCGCCATCGCAGCGTCTCTGAAGACCTGCCAGTCCAACTCATCAGATGCAGAAGACAACGACGACCTGCTTTCCCTGAACAGCTCCTTGGACGATGACCAAGAAATCAATTACTCGTTTGAAGACAATAACGCTACGACCAGTGAGGCGGTCGCTTCAAGTCATTCCCCTGATAAAAATGAGACTGGCAACAGACCTTGTGATAAGAGTTGCGATGCAGGCAGTGGCAGTCGCATTAGTGAATGGAGAACTGCGAAGAATCACCTTGTCAACGGCGCACCAGTGACTGTTGGCAGCTCAAAAGATGATAGCATTAAGACCCTAGGAGGTGAGGTGTCTAACTTAATTGGCTCTTAAGTAGTGTATGTTAAAGTCAATGACGATTTTATTTTGTAACAACTCGTTCGTATTGTCGAAGTGAGATCTCAAATAATTCCTTTCTTTGCGTCCAGAATCCGAGAAAGACGATAGTGAAAGCTGGCGTCGCCTGGCTGCTGAGTATGACAACAGCGACAGCGCTGCCATTGTGCTGCGACTCCCAGATGGCAAGCGAGAAACAATTAACCTGCCACGAGCAGCGCCTCTGACGGTAACAGCTTTGCAGAAACTGCCTACATTTCGATTACATCAAGTATATAATTTTATTTCTGGCTATATCTTTGTGTGCACGACTTCTTGTGTATGATAATTTTTTATACATGAGGCTTGTTTTTAGAGTGTGTACCGTTTTTACATTACAGCGGCTGTTTAGCGACGGTAGCTACATATTTTGAGAGGCCACTGACGCCATTATGGAACCATCCAATCGAGTGTGCATCTGTTTAGGCGATTTTAAAATATCACCTATTGAGAATTCCACGCGACTGCGATGTGCGTGCGCGTCTTTTGTGCTCCAGGCTTCAAATCAGCTGAAATTTAGTGAAGTGTGTGGTGAAAAAAATTATGAGTGATAGTATGGTGCGGAAATAGGTTAGGGCCTTCCAAGATGACCGCACATTCTTGCTAGAGAACGTAATGGGAGACATTGTTATTACCGATAATTCATTAGAAAACTGAGAGTGTAAAGTGAATAAGAAGAAACGATTCACTATTTCGACTTCATTGACGATGGCATATAAAAGCTGGTCCAAAAATACGATACACGTCTCGACGTTAATGGAAATTATGTAAAAAAGAAAATAAATTTACTTGTCTTGCATGTCAAAACGGTACACACTTTAAAAACATGCCTCTTGTATTACAAAACTGGGAGATCGTATGATAGGCCCTTTATTCAAGTTTCTTGCATTTCATATACAATTATTGTTCTTCGGTTAGCCATCTTACATTTTTTGTTTGCACAGGTGCTGCGGCGGTACTTGCGGCCCAGAGGATATTCCCCACCAGGATATCGGGCCTTCACTGGCTGGCCTAAGATAGACGTGTTTGAACTGGACGAGTCTATCTCTCTGAAAGACGCCGGCCTCTCGCAAAGAGACACTATTATTCTACAAAAAGAATGATGGATATTAATATAAGAAGTGATAACCGGTCGAGTGCTCACCGTCGGATGACTTATCCTACTGCATGGAAATGTAAGGATAGTTTGCCTGATGTCTTGTGTTCATAGGTTATGAAAGATGTTCAATTCAGCAACCATGATAATGAGCCCATTCGTGTAATTAAAATTTATTTTTGATCAGCTAATTCTTTACCTTCCTTGAGCTCAACAAGAAAAGTTTGAATCTTGAGAAGAGTTGCGAAACCCAAATTATAATTGAAACTTATTGATTGGAGTTCTAAACTTCCACGTACACTGGTAACAAAGGCTTACTAAGCAGGTCATAAATAGCTTGTTATTATTAAACTAGGAGAATTAGTGGCAAATAATCTTAAATATAATTCAGTTTCAACGAAAATAAGACATGGCTGGTTTCTTGGAGGCTCAGCTCATAGCGGCAGCTTTGGTGAGCAGCTGCTGTAGCTGCTGCTGTAACTTCATGATTCCTTCCCGCTTGGTGTTTTGCTCCTTCTCCAGTTTTTCCAGTGCCGAATCATGACGTTTTCTGCGGGTAAAGATACTTATTACGCCACTTGTCTCGATGCTAAGCTGTGCTTATCAGTGCGCTACTGCAACGTAAAACTGTTCTGTTAATTAATTCAAGATTGCTTGGCATTACTACTTTCTGACACGAACTAAAATGATTCATTACAGGAATGTTTTGATGAAAATACACATCGATGCATGAAAACAAACTTTACACAGAATGGCAAATTCTATTCAATATTTGTTGATGCGAATAGGTACTTGCATTTCATTCGTGATGTACTCTATCCTTTTGTCGACGCTGGACTTTGCTTCAGCGAGATCTTGCCTTATCAATGCCGGGCCAATGAGCTTGTAGACCACGTCGCTCTCCTCCAGTAAATCAACTTCCTAAAATAAACAACAAATAATATTTATTCGCACTTTCTGAATAAATATCAATGGTTCAATCATTCCCAAAATCTATTTTTCAAATTATTTTTTGTTTGCACTATAATAAAGCTGTTGAGTTTCTAGGAGGACATGTTGATAGTTGCTTGTTTAACTGTGAACACAGAACAAAACTACAATGATAGTACATACAGCTTTGAAAAGGTGATTGGTGATATGATGAAAGTATATACAGCTTTAACAAGGTTAGTGATGATAATGATAGTAGATACATACAGCTTTAGCAAGGTTAGTGAAGATATGATGATGTTAATGACAGTACATACAACTTTAACAAGGTTAGTGATGATAATGATAGTACATACAGCTTTAACAAGATTAGTGACATGATGATAATTATAGTATATGAAGCTTTAACAAGGTTAGTGAAGATATGCTTTAACAGCATATCTTCACAAGGATATGCTGTTAAAGCTTCACAAGCTTTAACAAGGTTAGGTAGTTATTATATGATGTTGACATCAATAACAAGGTTATTGATGATATGATAGTACATACAGCTTTAACAAGGTTGTTCTCATTTAGCTGCGAGTCCAGCTGTGACCGCCGTATGCTCGTCTTACTGATTTCTGGAAGTCAATAAAGATGATTATTACCATGCTCCAAAGAATGCCTTGCATGAAAAAATTAACACTGACAACTTTTTCAAAGTCATGCAATAACTACAAAATTTCATTTGACAATTCTTTACCGTATAAAATCAGTCAAAAAATTGATCATTTACTGAACAATAGTAGGAAAATTAATGCTCTATGGAAGTAGGTTTTCATGGGCGATCTAAATCATGGAAATTTGTTTCAGAGCGTCCATCATCTTGTGTAGTATATAGTTAAATTAAGATTCAAGCTTTTCATTACTAGCAAGCAAGCTGGGTTATTTGAATCATACCTTTTTGCAATTTCTTGAAGCCTTCAGATTCTTCTTCAAGTTTCTTCTGGAGAGCTTCAGGACCCATGGTCATCAATAATTTTAGCTAATATTTAATTCTGTAATATAACAAGACAAAAATTTGTGGATAAATTATTTGATACAAATTTTAATACCATTTATTGACTTGCAGCAATTATTTCTGGTATACAATCATGCCACATTTCAGGAGCATCAACTTTTATAATGCTTCACAATGTAGGCATATTGTAATAATATAGAAGTCCTAGGAGTTCTGTCATAAACTAGGTATTAATTTGGAGATTTCTCAGCAGTCTAAATGTTGATTCAGAGTATAAATTTCAGCTAGGTCATCAATTTCTTAATCAATATAGCATACTCAGATCATAACTTTACTACTCATAATTCTCAGCTCTCATAAAAATTTCCCATCTCCTGGTCAGGAGATGTAGGAAAAATTCCACTTTCACATGAAATTCCTTGAAACACAAAATAATACATATAATTATTTTATTCCATAGTTTTTATAAATACCTGTACTGTACTCTGTGTACTGATTCACTTATTCACATAGGGGGTAAACATGGATTTTTTAGACTTGCTTCAATTTGAATTTCCTCATCTACTCAAGATTTAAACCAATATCTTATGTATGATAATGCTGGTGTCCATGATACCTAGCTGGTCTACTTACAAGACTCAAAAATGAACTATAGAGAGAGTCTTAAAAAAATTCCACTTTCCCACTTGTTATTCACAACCTAAAATTATCCCATACAAGGTTATCCTCCCAAGTCCCGATTACAGTAAGCACTGCAATTTTTCAATATTTTGCATAGCAAAGTAGAGCAATTTTTGAGCTGTAAGTCCTTTCTTAGGTCCCTTGAAAATAATTTTAAAATTATAAATGTAAAACTATGTCTCTGGGCTAAAAATTGAGCAGAAATAATGGGCAGAAATTTCTTAAAATTCAGGTAAAAGAATTTGTTTTATAGATTTAAAAAAAATTCAGTTGGAAATAGGCTTTCTTTATTATAGTTCACTAAATAAATTGAGACAAGTCTATTGTCTCAGGCCAGAACCAACATCAGGAGCCACGGCTATAAACTAAAATAACTGCATTGTAACACATCCATGTGACAACTTTTCTTCTTGCATCGAGTCACCGACATGTGGAACAGCCTCATGCTCCAAGTATGAACGCCTTCAAGAACTGACTAGACAAATAAGCTATGCAGATGCATATGTTCAGTCTTAAAATGCCTAGGACCTTATGGACCAGGCAATAAGTCCAGCAGCTATCTCAATCAATCATCAGCTATGGAAAGATCGGGTTCCAAAGGCCGGATCCCTTGTGAATCAAGTCACGAAAAGTACAAGAATTAGCAACAGGCCATGGGCATATTTCTTCAGTGCAACACTTCTATTCTATCCTATTGAAATGGGTGAAATTGACCAGATTCATTGGCATTTTTGTCCAATTCATGGGGGACAGCCTATTTTTCATTCAAGGGCCAAAACAACAGTAAGCAATCTGGCATGATATACCTATATCAATTATTCAAGCCCTCACTAGAGTATTCTTACCATTTTGGGAGCTGCAAAATTCCCGCTAGATGAATTATCTACAATCAAATTGTTGATAAAACTGCAAATTGTGCTGCTAGATTATAAATGAATTGCAAATTGGCCACTTTTGAGCAGTGAGATTTAATTGATGAGTAGGAAAATTCCAATCTAGTGGTCTACAGATGGCTTACTGGTATTTAGAAAAAATTCCATGATGTTAGGGGCCACATGGTGGCATATGAATATGTAAGGAGTTGTGAGAAATAAATACCAGTGTAAATACAGTGTTTAAATACTACCAGTATTCAAACACTGGGGATAACAAAAAAAAAAAAGAAAAGAGAATTAAAGCACACAATTTACAACTCCTTACATATTCATATGCCACCATGTGGCCCCTAACAATGACTTTTCCATGACCTGGTTCTGGTAATCTTTGAATGTTAACCGAAAAGAGAGTAGTTGGCGGCTTGGCGCAGCAGAACCCAATTTTGCCAGAACGTGTACAAGATGTGTATCAAACCTGCGCATCCACTTGTATATTTATTTAATCTTACAATTCTGTTATGAATCCATTTTTCTCCGCTGGTTCCAAATGGAACCACTGGGCATTAATGGGTTAACACATGCAGCACAGAAAAACACTTCCATTTTTCTTCATTTGTTTGCAAATTCCATGACTTTCCAAGTTTTCCATGAACAGTACGCACCCTGGGTCTAGTAAGCAACCATAGCAACTCCACAGCTGGAGTCTGTAGAGACCTAGTGGCAAACCTGAGATTTTTTAGAATCCATACATTTTCAACTTCCTCATCAATTCAAGATTTAAATCATTACCTTATGTATGATAGTAATTACCTTATGTATGATAGTAATGCTGAATTGCTGGCACCCATAGTACTTCACTGGTCTACTTATAGGATTCAAAAATGAACTTAAGGGAGCATCTATAACAGTCTCTGGGTCTGCTTTGCAGCTATGTTTGGAGAAGACAGAATACAACTGATCAGTCTGAACTGCTTGGCAATAGTTGTCATGACAACATTTTGGCAGCTGCTGAATGAGGCAGATGCACAAGCAGGCTTCCTGTTCTAAAATTCCTTCCTTTATACTCCACTGGGCACTGCCACACTGGCAGTGACTGCCCTATGAAAGCCTCAATACAGTCAAGGTTTGGCCATCTTGTCACACCACTCTTGACAAATGGTATCTTGCCTGCCGGGACATACGGAGAAGCCAAGCGGTCTCTCCGCAGGGAGATTACCTTCTGCGTGGCGGCTACTGCCACCATAAACGCTGTCCTTGCTGCTCCGACACCGCAGATTGCTTCAGTGGAGACCTCACTCCCTCGCCCCTACTGCTCAGCGTTATCCCAGCTCCGCTCGGGATACCGCAGCTCCTTGGCATCCTACTCCGCCAGGATTGGATGCTCCCCTAGTTCTGCCTGCCCGGAGTGCGGGGATCCCCTCCAATCCGTTCAGCACCTCTTCGTCTGCCCCGCCTTCCCCACACCTCTCAGCGTCTCCTCACTGTGGGACAACCCCATGGAGGCAGCAGCTTTCCTGGTAACCCTCCCTGCCTTCGCCCACCTCCCCTCTTTTCCGGTTCTGGCCCCCCGCCCGCCACCAGAGCCTCCCCCCCGTCAAGCAGATGGTTGCAACTAACAACAACAACACTGGCGGTAGCTTGGTATAAAAATTACATGATGTCGTACTAACATATGCAAATGCTCACTGCACATAACTATATAATATTGATAAACTAGGTATGATTGTATAGGAACAAAAAGCCTAGGTATCCTTATACATAAAAAAACTAATTTTAAACTTAATCACCAGCAGCAGCAATATAAGATTTACATTTGAGAGGTATTTAGAGAACAGAATTTTCAACTCCTTAACCATAGTTTCCACTCTCCAAAGCACTAAGCAGGACCAAAGTAAGGAATTGAACAGTAAATGGTAGTCATATGACCTATTGCTATTGTCTCATTTGGGAATAACCTCAGAATATTGTTTAGACAAAATTTTTGAGTAAATACCAATAAGTTATTCAAGTAGGCCTATAGAATATCTATCAAAGCTCAAAGGTGTACAAGGCAGACAGCTCAAGGCAGACAGCTTACGGCAGACAGCAGACAGCTTAATTGACATTTAAAATTATTTAATTTGTGCACCAAGAGAATGACTCATGCTTTCATTTACTATTCTCTGCTGAAAAACCAGGTTTTATTCTTCCATTCTAATTTTACTAACCTACTTCAAATACTTTTTCAGTTTTAGCACTTGCTTTCAATACTAATGTGGTGACAAATCCATTACTCTTAGGTACTACTGTCAAACAGGATTGGAAATTTCATACTTCTTTCTAAAATCTTGCGGCTCTAACGTGACAAATTTTTAAAACAATTAGAATCTTGCAGCCCAATCATGCACATTTGTTAACAATTAGATAGGAGGTAATTCATCTGGTGGAAATCTCGCAGTTCTGGAAATTGTGGGAAAGCTTTAGTTGAGAACTTGAGACCTAAAGCTAGATGTTTTCCATGCTTGCTGTCAAACAGGATAATTAATAAAATGTATAAAAAAAATTTTAAAGACCACGTTTTTCATGTGGACTCAAAAGTAGGAAATAATTTTTCGGCAGCTACTGATCTCTGTTTGCTAGAAACACGTTGTTGCGAGCCAATTTACTTGACTTGATGTACGTATCGATGATACGAAGCGTATCATCGATATACGCAGTATAAACACAAATATCCTCTCGAGGATGACGTGCATTAAAGGTTCCAACCCCTGCTTGTGAGTTCCTTTAGAGTTTATACGCCTGGAAACGTGCAACAAATTATTGATTATTGTATTGTTATCGGGAGCTGAGCTTCCCTAAAAGTTTCAGAGCACTAGCTAATGGGAAAGTTGGTGAAATATTGATTGCAAGATTTGATCATCACAGACACGAAAGCGAGCTAAGAAAAACGTGGTAATAAGGGATGGTTTTTATTCATATTTTTATTCATATCTTCTTACCATGAAACATTTCATAAACAAGTTTGGGCTCATTTTATAGCTCTTTGCGACTGCAAGGGCAATTGAATGGCATGGCAGCTTAATTGTAGGTATGTGCAAAAAAACAACAAATTTCTTTGATTGTAATGAAAATTACAACACTGAAAAGAGAAAAAAAATTAGAAAAATATCATATACCTAAGTATGAGTGGAGTAGGTTGAAAAATGAAAAAGATATGAATTTTTTCCTTTTTTCACTTTCACATCAAAAATGGACCAACTTCTGTTACTTTTTTTTGGAAAAAACTATCAGTTGTAGGTTTCCTATGAGCCAATTTCAAAGTTTTTAGTAACATTAGAAAGCTCTTGTTGTAGGCTATCTATTCTAACTAGAATAAAACATTTTGGTTGAGACTTTGACTGCAGGTGGCCGCCACTGTGCAGAGAGTGGATGAATATTGCAAGATCTTTGGCGATGCTTCAGTAGCCAAATTTTCGCCTTCAGAAGATCTTGCCGACACATTTAGATTGAAATTCTTGCATTTA